GGGCTGTGCTTTCCTCTGTCATCCTCTCCAGTTCTTACCCGCAGACTGACCATCAAAAGCACTGTGAGATACCAGCCAGTATCTATGCACCCATGAGGATTTCCTTTAGTAAGCAATCCAGCCCGATTTGAGTTCTGAATCCAACAAGATGTGACTGAACCAACACAACTACAACAGTGCAAATAAGACTTCCCCAGCAACCTTTTCCTGCTCCTCATCAAAACTGTCCCCTTCCTTAGGTGACACGGAACAATTTCAGTACTCGGTTTACCAGAAGACCAAGAAGTAGGTACAAACTCACCTGTCTTAACCCATAGCAATCCCATATATTCCTTGTAAATCCTATCTAAATTGGGTAACCTTTCTGATCACTCCTACAAGGCTGATGCAAGCCTCTGTGCATGCACCTCAAGGCCATGGGGTTCCGTCGGTTGGATCCTCCATCCCAAACCTCATCATCCCATGCCATGGGAACTGGAGAAACCCTGTGCAGCACCAAGTTGACTTGCAATGCTTCAATAGATGCTTAAGGAATGGTGTTTTGGGGAACTTTCTGAAAAAGTGGAGCCCACTTGCTCAAGGAGACCACATACCAGAGCAGCTTGTCCGCTGCTAGTAGAGAGGCAGTGGCTTGGGAAGGGCAGAAGGAGAGGACTTGAGAAACAGGTCCCAGAGTATTTATTTTCTCTTGACTACTTGTATGAGATAAAGGCAGTAGAGGTCCTGCCACCATCCAGGGAAAATCCCTTCTTCACTAAGAGCTAGTTGCCTATGGGAGGTCAAACCAAGTTGCCTTTGGTGATATCTAGGTCAGGTGGGTCTTGTGTGGCAGCAAAGAGTGGATTAGCGTTTGGGTGATAAAACCTTCACTGGTGTTCAACACTTGCTCACATGGACATCTGTGAAAAAGCTTGCCTCTTCTGCTCTCTTTCAGTGAACCCATCAAGTGGAGATCACCCTCAACAGAAGGTGGTAGTTACACCTCGCACGTTCAAACCAACAGAGGAAACACCAAGTGAGGGACTTCTGCCAGCTGAGGTGGGGAGGGCGATACCACTCCCTGGTCTCCTGCCCTGATTTTAAGCTCTTTGCAGCAAGCACCTTGCCACCTACTGTAGGCTCTTCCAACACCTTGTGCAATCAAACCCTCCAACAGATGTGATGCTGATCACCGTTACCAAAATGTGTCCAACAGACCCATGGTGGTCCTTAATTGGGAAAGTCAAAGCCTATTTTAATGACATCTTTAATTTGCTTTGTTTCTATCTTATGCAACCAATGAAACTCACATCCCATAGAAAAAATGACTCGTGTACTGTAAAAACGTACCGTATACGCAAGGAGAGAGCTACGTTTGCACGTCCATAGGGTTGCTCCTCCCCATGGGAGCGAAAGGTGTAGGTGAGCTGCGATCCTCTGCAACGTGGTGACTGAATTTCCAGAGGAAAGGTGACGGGAAGGAAGCGGGGACGGGCGCTATTTACAGCACAGCGGACGTCAGCATCATTTCGCACGAGAAACAAAAGGTGCTTCGCTAGCCCAAGACGTGGCCCCTTCTGAATGTCACCGTCAGGGAGAGGTGAGGAGCCCACATGTGCTCTCGATGGGAACTGGTATCGTTTATAAGACCAGATGGAAAAAATGAGGCAGATTTCTAGGCGTCGATGTGCTTTATCAGCTCTTTTACAATAGCTGTGTCATATAAAGCACCAGCCAACCCGAAGGTCAGCTACAACCACGCAAGGCCAGCTGGACTCATGTAGAGGTCAGCCTGGGATCTGACTCCCTGACCCAAGCTGGATTCTCACTCGCACGTGGCAGGAGGATGCACACCACAGTCACCTGGGAAGTGCCATCCTTCCCAGATGAGGCAGGTCCTGGGCAGCGAGAGCCGGTGCCCCACGGACAGGCATTGCTCATGGATTCTGGGGTGCTGCTTAGTGCCAAGTGCTCACCACCTTCAGCAGAAGGGAAAAAGCTGCCTGATGAAAACCAGACCCAACTGCACCAGGACTTTGGGGCCACACCCGCTTCTAATCAATGGAGCGGGACAATCTCTTTCCTTCTCGCAAATCCATTGCATCTCAATCTCACTCCTACCAACTCTGTTCTAAGAAACCAGCTCTTCTTCCCTTGGGTCTGGGCATCCAGAGTTGCTTCCTAATCCCTCTCCCAATCCATGCACCACCAAATGGCCCCACTCAGCCTCTCCCTAGTCTTGCTGCCTCCAATGCCCCATCCACAGTCTTGCAGTTTTGAGTTTCTCCATATCCAGATGAGGTTTGAAACACAAAGCTCCAAAGTTCCATCTGTTTTGCTGGCCATAAAATCTCATCCTGAGGGATGTTTATACCACCTGCATGGCTCCACCAGCTCTGAAAGGAAGCTTTTCTCCCCTAGAATGATGCCTGGGACATTAAGATAATAGCACTGCCATTAAGTGGGAACAGCTTTGTAACCAGTTTGTGCTCCCATACAGCCTGGTGTTTAAGCTGCAAAAGAGTTTCATTTAGCAGGGTGTTTTTTTCCTATTCCCTTTTTTCCCCTGTTTCTACCCCTTTTTTTCCTATTTCTACCATGTTTTTCTCATAAAATAATCATTCTGAGACCTCACTTACTGCTAGAAATCAATTTTACGGAGCGAGTGTTCTCCAAGAGCATCTCCAGCAGCGCTAGAAGGACTAAAACTCCCCTCCTCGTCTTAAATACACGACAGAGGCAAGGGGACCTCGAGTGCTTATGCCATTTAGGTTCAAACCCCCCCAGCATCAAATCATGTGGTGTGGGAGAGGGGGGCTGCAGAGGTCTCCAGCCAAAGCCTAGGGGATGGGACCACGCCTTTTCCACTTAAATAATTCTTTAAGAGACCGTTGTTTCACTTCAGCTCCCTCTACCCGGCTTTCTTAGATTTTTGCAATTAAAGTAAGCATGTTTTTCTGTTTAAGCTTGGACACCATCATGGACATCCGTGCAGGACTGCATATCCTCTGCTCTTTCCATTTTATTTCATAGATTCATAGATTTCTAGGTTGGAAATGACTTTAGAGATCATCGAGTCCAACCATCCCTAATCCCCATTAAACCATATCCTCAAGTAGCTCATCCACCCTATTCTTAAACACATCCAGGGATGGGGACTCAACCACCTCCCTGGGCAGCCTATTCCAGTGGCTGACAACCCTTTCAGAATTTCGTTTGTGACTGATTAGGGCTGGAATGGGCCCACGTCTTCTCCCACATGATACAGTATCATCAACTGGGTTTTAAGGCTTCTGTCTCTCCCCCTGGGATATTATCCCAGTGCTACTTGGTTTGGGCTGCATCTCACCCCACGATCTTCCAACCCCAGCCCAAGGCAGTTTCTTTTGCTATTTCTCCTTGCCATGCCCTGAGGGGCTCAATGCTTCTGTCTGCTGATGGTTTATCTGAAGGGACCACAAAGAAAAGGAAATAGAAATACATATCTGATGCGATTTGTGATCCCTTGGATGGACTAGTTTTTCAGATGGGAGGGAAGAACCAACAGGTAGTTCCATGGCACATGGAACAGCACAGCTTTGGGCATGGAGATCTCTCCATGGCCATGGAAACCCACTTTCCTTCAGGCAGAAGAACCCTTGGCTCTGCAGGTCTCCTCTCTCGCAACATCGTGCACTCTTTGGATGGTGGAGGAAGACCTGCTCGGTGAGCTGGGATGGGAGCAGGATGCTCCAACCTCCACTGCAGTTCCTTGGGGACCCCAGCCCAGCACTGCAAGGAAGTCCACCCAGCTCACTCTTGCAACACAAGCAGACTTCAGCTTGGTTTTAACCATGTTTTGGTGATCATAGGGCTGCAACTCAGCTGAAACAATCCCTCCTTTTTTTTTTTTTTCTCCTAAATCACAAGACAAAATTGTCTTTCAAACCACATACAGGAAAAAAGGAGGAAGCCCCAAGGAGGACAGAAAATGGAGTTTGCTGCTAATGAAAGCCCTGCCCACAGAAGAATGTTTCTAGGATGCCTAAGTAAACTCTTTTCAGCTGTTTTTCAGGTGGTCGGTAAAATTTGGGAAAATCAAACCAAGAACAGAGTTAATTGCATCACGGCTGTTCTCGAGTCGAGAAATGATGGGGAAGATTTGAGGACACACTCCAACTGCTATTAGAGGTGTTCATAGGAGTCCCCTGAAAATGTCCCCGTGAGGCATCACAGCTCAGACACAAATTTCTGATCACTCTAAGAGAAAACATTGGCCACTTTTTCTGCTGTTAAATGACATTAACCTTGCAAACTCCTGGTTTTAGAAATGTTTTATTGCCCTGATTGTGTTGTCTCAGCCACAGCAGAACACACCGGCAGAAATGAAGCTGCATGTACAGCTAACTCCCTTATTCCCCACTTACTTTCACATTTAACCATAGTCATGATTCCTATCAAGGACTCTAGATGCCCTCATATAATTAAATATGCAATTTACACAATTAAATATCCAATTGACCCAATTAAATTAACTCAATGGATTGAAATCACCGACGCCGCAGGAACTCAGCACATCCCCTTCTTCACGCAGACAGGCATCCGACGCTTGCTGCAAACCCCTCTCAACCATACCCACTTCGTAGGAGACCCTGAGAGTCAGCAAATTTTGCTTTTCAATAGAAAGAGAGGAAGCAAGTCGCAAGGACTCAAAGCTTTTATAGATAATGCCTTGCCAGCTGCCTCTTCTAACACAAGTTGGGGGATCTGGCTATGCTGGAATAAATATAAGAGGAAGAGGAGGTCCTTAAGATACTGCTGGAGCAATATAAGACATACCCCAGACTTAAAAGACAAACCAGGGGGAGGGACAGACTTTGCATTTCAGGATGTTAGTGCTCAAATAAGGGTTTATGCACTAACCCAACGCTGGCAGCTGCTAACCAGCAGTATTGTCCAAAGACACTCCATCAGACAGTGGGGGAAGATGTGCAGTGAAGAAGAGAAGATTAAGAAAAAAACTTAAAAGAGGTTTCACCTACCTCCGGTCGTTTCTCCTCCTTCTGAACAATTTTTTGGTGTGTGCGATTTCAGCTTCATGAGGCAACGGATGGTAACCCTGTAAAACAGAGGGAAAAGCAGTGATCAGCTCCAAGATACAGGAGGCATTGATATGGAAGGGGTCAAAGCGAGACAGAGCTGTACGCCCAATGTGTGGGCCTGATGAAAGAAACAGTTCCCATCCAAACATCCTTAGAACATCTCAGACCCTATCGAAGCCGGTCTGGAAATCCACAGACTTGTTGTACCCTTTCAGGGCTCTTGCAATGAGCAAGGAACGAAGCTGTTCACAATTTATGTATCGGAGAAACCACACAGGATAAATAACTGGACCGCATATGGATAGATCCCAACATACACCATCTACAAGGAATTCACCCATTTCATGCACGACACTGCTTATACTGGAGCATCTAAACCATCCATTTCCACTAGATCGTTTCCTTCAGATTGATTTATTTATCTGAAACTCAGCTGTAAAAAAGTGTGTACGGGGACAATGCTCAGCAGCATTTTGAGGACACTGCAGGAAGCAAACACGCGCCACAGGGGCTGGTCTGTCAGGGCAGTGCCCCCACACCATTAGCAAGTCCATGACCACATCATGAGCACCTCACTGAGCCTGCCCACCACCAGCTAGTCAACCCATGTCACCCCTGTGGAAGGGACGGGTGGCCTCTACCTACTGGAAACAACAGAGATGACAAGGACAGTAAATGATTTGCTCCAGTCACATCAGTGGAAGAGTTGTGTGTAACTCAAGCTGCTGCCTTGCTCTCTCTCCACTGAAGGTGCCGACTCTCTGACTTGGCATGTTCATCTGATAAGGGGGATGCTGTATTTACCGTCCTACTATGGGCATCATGAGGCTTCACTAACATGAGCAAAGAGTTCTGAGGTTCCTGGACGAAAGGCACTATGTAAGTGCAAAGTATTATTTATTTTCCAGGGACTACAGAGCTGTCATAACCATCATGAACTTTATTTATGCAGTATTGTACTTTCCCAGCTGGCAATAAAAGCCTTGTAAAAGTCGCTCCTTTTATTTCCATCGCAACCTGTCTTAGACTCCAAGCTCCAGCCGCTGCTGGTGAATCACCGCTGTGCACACAGGGCCATGAGGGAGCAGCCTGGGCGAGGGCAAAGGCTGGGTGGGAAAGCATCTCATCAAGCAGCAGCTCTGTCACATTGGCATGACAACATAACACATCGACTTCAAAAAAAAAATTCCTCTCTCTCTGCGTGAACGGCCTTAAAAACGACAGTTAATTTTAGTAGCAGTTACTCAGATAATAATATTTTGAGTTTCTCTGGTGGAAGATGTAAAAGAGGAGAAAGGTTGATGGGGATGGTAATGAATTTAGGCTTGCAGACCAGAGAAGGCATCCCCGAGTCCAAGACCAACAGAGCTTATTGAGACCATCCATCCTGGCCACCTGCAAAGAGCCTGGAGAAACTGCTACTGCAGCAACCCTACAGCTCCTACAGCAGCTGGAGTCTTCCACTTTGGAGACCTTCACTCTTTGATGCTTCAAGCAATGAGGAACTCACCAAGCTCCTAGGTAAGTCCTGCTGCTGGCTAGCATGTCCCCAGTTGAACCTTGCTTTGGCTGCAGTGCTCAAGTGTGTTTTCTGAGAAAGTAGCTTCCCTTTTAACTTTTGTCTTCACTTTTAACTCTTCCAGAGAAAATTGGATACACCATGATCATACGGTTTAGCACAGGCATTAGAAAGCATGTTCAAGAGTAGCACCTATTTCTGGTGATCAAATTATCCTTCTCTCCCACTAAAACACCCGTAACACAAAGTGGTGCCCCACCAGCCACAGCATCTACACGACTCCTCATAGCAGAAGTACAGAGGCCATCATTACGTGAAGTTGCCCTAGCTTTCTTGCAGATCTGCTCATCCAGCAAGGATCTGCTCAGCGATGCATGTTGTATTTTGGTCCTCTGCTCACATCCCTGCATCCAGCACCAAGAAAAGCTCTCTTCATGCTCCCCAGATCTTGTCTCACCAGTCAAATATAGCCCATCTTTGACTAAGAAGAGGTACTTTTGGAATAGGGAAAGCTGGCAGCCTGCTCTCCTAGGGCTGTGGTTGGGTTATCACCCAGTTAGCCAGGTCTGACTTGGGCTTCTCCTGCAGCCGAACACCCTATGGTTAATTCTGCGTGGAATCTTTGATGTCTAATAGCTTAAAAACATCCTGAACCTTCTTCATTACTGGGGGTTTGAGTCTTCCTCATCTACTTGATCACTGAATGCATAGGAGGAGCTTAATGTCTTCGAGATCTCTGTTGCTCTGAAAATTTGCTTGAAATTGGCCAATGGGTACCAATGAGAAAAGGATGGGAGGGAGCAGACAGACACACAGCCCAGTCGCATCAGCTGTGCTAGTTTAGGAAATCAGGCTAAAAATAATACAATACTCAGCGAGGCTGTTTCCAAACGTTCGACTACCACAGCAGGCTAAAGCTCGGGGTATTTTTAAGAATTTAAGCTGCATTGCAGACGTGCAAATATAATTACCTTGGAAACACGAAACTATCTCTGCAGAACACGAGGACCTAGAGCACTTATTTCCTCAACGTGAAGCCTTTGCTAAGTCTCAGGAACTGCCCTTCTGCTCTTTCCAACCAGAAATCGTATGGATGGCGATGCACCGCTGTGTGTCCTCCTTGCAGAGCAACCCTGTGCTTCCTCAGACCTCTGTCCACCAGCAGCAGACAGCATCGAGGTGAGAGATAGATTAATTACACGTGAATAAGGCTCCCAATCCAAGGAACATGCCTGTGCCTGAACAGAGAAGAACTTCGTGTCCCTGTTAGGAAAATCAAGCGCCTCCCTTCTCCAGCCAAGCAGTTCCCTTCCTTAGTCCCAGTCATGAGACAATGTTTTGGAAAAAAACAGTCACCGGTCCCTACTCTTGTCTATTTTGGTGCCTAAACAGAGCTAAATTTGGAAGAGAGAAAAGTCGACTTTTTTTTTGTGCAGTAAGCTGATGTAAAAGGAAGTATCAGCAACTTGCAAGACGGATGGAGTGCCTGGAGAAGATCGAGGGAGCTGGGTGGGTGAGGCCAGGCTGGAGTCCCAAAAGCATAGTGAGCACCTTGATGACAAGGCTCTTGGGTTTGTCTGGAGGCTGCTCCCAGCCACTCGTCATGCAGGACGGCAATGGAAGCTCCTTCAACAGAACTGGCTTGCTGACGACAAGGTGGATCTGAAATGCAGCTCTTGCATTTTTCAGTGGACATGCTCTTAATGAAGCTGAAATCCCTGAACGGAGTCAAAGGGATATGTCTTGCAAGGTAGAAGACCATTGTCTTCTCTGCAAAGGGTCTACAAGATGACCTACGCAAGAGAGGCATTTTGCTCTTGCTTGGGCCAGAAGACACCATAGAGCCCAGGTGTTCATGGTTTTCACAGGCAGCTTTGCAACTTCTCAGTGGGCAGCAAAATCGCATTCAGTCTCTCTCTGACATCAGTTTTGTTTTGGTATTTACTTTCAGGTGGCTCAAGGAGAATGTAACAAACCAACATTTCAGTGCTGCTGGTTCTGGAAGCAAGGGGTGTAGGAAAAGCAAAGAACAAGAAGCCCACAGACTCAGAAAGGACTGCTAAGAGGGGTTGGTTTTGATTTTGGAGCAAAACCCTCTGTGGTGTACACGGTGGGAAGCATGGAGCAGAACCTGAAAAGCCCATGGGACTTCTAATATATGTACGCTACGTACATATATCTTGTTAAATGACAAGAAAGGCCAACAGCTCTGGAAGAGAAGGGCTGCTCAGGACTGATCTGGTCTCTGGGCCAGTCCCCTAGAGATCAGCTATGTTGTGATGTGCATATTCCTTTTCAGATGTTTTGAGGAAAGCAGCTCTTGGAGAAGAGAAGGTGGTCTCTGGCAAGCTTAGGTGACTGTCACACGGCCACATTTTGTGCTTTACCTTCCCAGTGAAGGTATCTGTCCAACCCTCATGGGAATCCAGAAAGCTGTCGGCTGCCTCTCCACTGCTCCAGACCCATTTACATCAAAGTTTAATGCAAGAACAAATAAAAAGCTTTCAAGATCTCGTTGGCAATCTGCAGCAAGACCCTCTGCCTCTCCCCCACCAATACCTGCCCCTCCCCAGCAACATCCCTCTCCTGAGCCAACCCACCCCATGTCTCAGCCCACTAACTTGCAGGGTACTGGCCTGGGAGAGACACAAGGAAGAGAGGCAGGACCAGAGGAGGGAAATGGTTGGTTTTAGAGCTACTCTGCTATAAGCAGGAGCTTTGTTATCGTTTTTCTCATGCCTCCTCTGCAGCAGCATCAGCTGAAGATGTTGGAGAGAGCCACCAGCTCTGCCTCTTTCACTGGTGATGGTAAATCACACAGCAAATCACGAGGAGATGAGCAGAAATGAGTCAGGGTTTTTAACTGCTGCTGGTCCTTCTGTGACCCACCCTTAGGTAGGAAATCCCAGGGGCTCCTTTGGCATCTGACCACAACTGTGTTACAAAAGGAATGGACCTATTTGTGACCAGCCTGCACCCTCCCTCCTTCTCCTCCTTCTGCACTCCTCAGATGCAACTGTTGCCCAAGGTGACCAAGTTCATGGATGTTTCAGAAGACTCCAGGGTATATGAGAGGTTGGGGTTCATTGCTTCATCCCTGTGGTCTTCATGTCTAACGCAGCCCGACTTTCAGATGTGAAGCCTCACCCGACAAAGTGACTGTCCTCACTCATACCCACTCATTCAGACTCTTCCGTAGATGCTCCCCATGCAGCAGAAACACTTCCAGCCTGTGATGGTCCAGCAGATGAAGATGCCTGAATGCCAAAAAGCAACACTGAAACCTCAAGAGCGAGCGAAAGGTTGAGAAAAGCAACTGGGCTGACGGAGTAACTCAATGCTGGGGTGATGAGAGGAGGAAAAAAAATGATCCAGCCATATTGCAGGACTGGTCTGCATGAAGCTTATCTCAAGAGCCTTTTGTGCCCTCAAGAAACATCTCCGCCCTTGCTTATCTTAAACAAATGGTTGCAGAAGGCCTGAACTGAACAAACAGGT